AGATGATTTTGGTTTGAAGAACCTGCTCCTCATCTTCTGTTGGCATTGCCATCTTCCTCAGCTTGGCGACAACCTGGACGATGTCTGCCGCAAACTGCGGTTCTGTCTCCAGGATGTCTTTCATCTCCTGGTTGATGACTTCTCTTATATTCTTCAACTCCTCCTCTCTTCTTTTCTTTGTCTCCTCCTCTGGTTCAGATTGAAGAGAGCCATGAATTCTCCTCACTGCTGTCTTTCCTCTCAGCCTCCTTCTCACAGACCAAGCATTAGAAATGTTGCCCTCCAGAGCAACCCACACTGCATCATCGATGGGTTCAACGGTCTGTTGGAGGACGTACTTTGTGACTCGTGGCGCTTCTCCTTCTTTCTGAATCCAGTGGCCATGATCTTCTGTGGATGGACACAAGTATCGGACCTTCTCAACTGCCGCTTCAAACGCTCCTCTCCTCCAGGTGCGTTTCTTGACTCTCACTTCTTGGAAGAACTGCGGCCAGTTTGGGGTGATGTCTTTTCTGATGCACCTGTTGATCTCATCCACATGTCTCAGCGCCCATGGCCAGTATGAGGAGTCCAAATTGGCCTGCCTCAGTGCTCTCCTCACTTGAGTCTTGAGAGCCTTGACCGTGACCTCTGCACGGCCATTTCCTTGTGGGTCATCCCCTGCCGTTTTTGTGATGTATATGCCTCTGCTTCGGGCCCATTTTCTGAAGGCCCCGTCAAACTCGTGGCCACGATCACAGTGAATGCGGCCCACGTGATAGCCGTCGGCTCTCAACCTCAAGATGAACTCCATGGCCGTCGCACTGACTTCTCTGGAAGTCTTTGTGACCATCGGCAAGGCCATTCGGAACACTCGAAGTTCCGTCGTTTCTTCCAAACTTTCTTCTTTTGGCGGGCCTGGGAGGCGGACCAGACATCCTTCGTCCGACCCCTGCTCACCTGGCACTCCGCCTGGTGGGGCTTGTGGTGCCTCTCCACCTTGCCCAGCGAGGAGGCGGACCAGATCTCCTCCATCCGACCCCATCTCACCCGCGGGCACTCCCCTAGGTGGGCCTGGGAGGCGGACCGGATCTCCTCCATCCGACCCCATCTCACCTGGCGCTCCACCGGGTGGGCCATGATCGGGCTCTCCACCCTGCCTGGCCGGGAGGCGGACCAGATCCTCGTGATCCGACCCCAACTCAACCGGCGGCATAGGGGGCAAAATTCCGAGTTGATCTTCTCCATCCTCAACTTCTTCTTCTGTGTCTTCTATCCTTGGTTCATCTCCTTCAAGTGGCTGAGTTGGTGGCTGTTGCAGCCTGCCCGTCCCTTTTGGAACCCTCCATGTCAAAGCACCTGCAAGAAAGTATCGAGCCATCCCGCCTCCTTGATCATATGCACCAATCAAAGGGCCTGCTGTATCTAAGCTTAAGACCCCTCCGATGACGTGCTTGGACTTTCTGTGTGGTGCACACTGTTGGAGTGTCTCCTGGCATATCTTGCAGTCTCTCCGGTATGGAATGTGGCCAAAAGCCAAATGCTCTTGCCACGACATTGGTTTCAGCTTCGGGGTCACTTGATAGACCTGCTTGATCAGTTCATCGGCCAACATCATCATCAGCATAGGTGGCCAACGTGCTAGTTCTTTGGAGCTGTTGACTCGGGAAGGATGTCTTTTGGAAGTGATCTTGTAGTCCTCCACATTGAGTTGAAGAGATCCCCCAAATGTGGTTGGCTTTGCAGACTTCCCACCCAACTTGCCTTGTTCAAACGTCTCCTCAGTGAAGGAAAACTCTTCTTTCAGCCTCCTCCATTCTTCAGTGTCCCAGAAGCTCACCACTTCTGGCATGTATTGCTTGGGGGATGCCGGCTGCTCCAGACTGAACAGCGGGTCTCGAAGTTCTCCTCTTGCCCTGGCAGCAAATGTGGCTACCATGTAGATGAAGATCATTCGCCACAGCAGCAAGTCATCCTCTATGACCTGTTGGCGCTCTTGATGGGTCAAGTGCTTGGACCCAAACTCTCCTCCTCCCCAGTTCCTCACTGGCCTGGGGGCCTGTGGATTCCCTTCAATGGGATAGTGGCGCAAGACGCTCCTCGTCCTGCAGTTTGGACCTCCCACTACCGCCTTAATTCTTCCTTCCAAAGCCGCTCGCATCAGTCCTCCATAGACCTTTGGCTTCAGAAGATCTTGATCTTCTCCTCTGACCACATCCATCTCCAACAGCTGCCATTCTTGACCTCCAGCTTGCTGCCATGCTCGTTTTAGTGTGCATCCTTCATTTGGGCCTGCAAACAGGTGAAGGATGAATCCATCTCTCTGCATCCTCTTCCTCGCTCTTCTATTCGCAGGAAGCTGATTCCATTCTCCAACCTCACAAAGCAATCCCTCCCTGATCCAACCGGGAAGAGACTTCAGCAGCGGGTGTTCAGCCACCAGGTTTCTCATCCACTTTGCTTCTCGTGAAAAGTCTTCAGCCTTCTCACCTATCTTCAACTTCTTTCTTTCAATCTCCTCAATCAGTTGCAGCGCAAGTTGTTTGGAAATCTGAGGACAGCCTTCAGCTTGTTGAACTGGAAGACTGCCAAGACCTGGATGGATGATCGACAGTTCACCGGCTTTCCAAACTGCTTCACATCCAAGATCTTTCATCAGCGCACTCATAGGGACAATTGGCTCTACGTCCGCCTCCTCACTAACCATCGTTCCTCCAGCATTGATGGCCAAGAGGGCAGTCTGGCCGTCTGCTAGTGAAACTTCAACCTTCTTGTACTGTGGGAGATGTCTTCGCCCAGCTTCTTGGGGCGCAGTGCATGTGTCGCACCGCTGTCGATCAGGCCTTGACAATGACCTGATGAGATCTTCTGAATCTTCAGCACCTTCATCCTCAGAGCGTTCAGCTGCTTCTGCAACCGATCCATCGTCTCCTGCTTGCTTTCTTCAACGCTGGATGCTGAAGAAGACACTGTTGTTGCCTGAGAGCTGCTCGAAGCTGTCAAACTCTTCAGCATCTTGTTCGCCTCCTCCATCAGATCTTTGATCGCCGATTCAGAACTCGGCGCTGTCGGAGCATCTGACTCCTTCTGATTTCCTCCTTGTTCAGCCTCAGACTTCAAGGCTCTGGCCTTTGGTGGGCTGTTCTCAGAAGAGCCCTTTGGACGTGTGCATGCAGGGGCAAAATGGTCGACTGACCCACAGACCCAGCACCTCCTCTTGTCATCTCGTCCTTCATGAGAAAAACCACATAGCTTCCCCTTTTTGCAGCCTCCATCAGAAAAGAAGAAACGACATCGTGGCTTCCCTCCTCCATCTTCTGCTGAGCGTTCTTGTCCCTTTCCCTTCCCTTTTTCTGGCTTCTCTACCTCCATCGCCTTCAGCTTGGGGACATCCTGTTTTGACGTCTGTCCTCCAGTTCGCTTCTCGGTCAGTGCCACTTGCTCTATCTCTGCCAAGAGGTGTGTGGCGAATCTGGTGACTGACAGCTCCGTTGGAGTTGTGTCTACTCCCAGACTCGACCTGGCAAGCTGAATCCTGAATTGTAAATCACGGTGGCCATCCAGGACCCTTTTGGTGAGTCTGTTCAAGCCCTTGAGCAAGAGTGCAGCATCAGGAATCACTGCACCGATTTCGGCAGTCCTGGCCTTCCACCTCATCCATCGTCTCAAGGCGGCAGGAGCATCTCCGATGCTAGTGACTTCTGGTGGATCTTCAAGACTGCGCAACATCATTTGTTTTTCCAGCACACCACCCGGGCAGTAAGTGAGAAAAAGATGTGCTAAGATGCTGAAAACTGACATCTTTCGTCCAGCCACCAGTTCCTCACGGACATTCTCCGGAACTGAGTGCAAGAGCATGGTTGACATCCTCCTCTCCAAACGTTGCCATCTTTCCTGTTGCAAGCTCGCAGGTGGTGTAGCATCATGTGTGATCCTGTCAAGTGGACTCAGAGACATATGCCGCTGGTACCAAGATTCCACGGCTTTCACCATAGTGGTCCACCATTCTTCACTGGTTGAAGTCATATCAGCAGCTATGGGTTCCACCATCAACAACCAATCTCCAAGCTGCAGCGGACCCTGTGAAGGATTGCATGGTGGTAGGCCAGGAAGATCTAACACCCCAGACCTGACAACTTCTACGCCTCTGATTGAACCACCTTCGTCTCTTTGTTCTGAAACCTTTTTCTGCATCTCTTTCATCGACTCTACCATCAAGCTCATGAACTCCAACGACTTCTGGGTGAACTGAGAGCCGGGACCAGTGTCAGCCTGCCCCGCATCAGCTCCTCGATGGTGACTTTCTTCTTTCGATGTCTTTGGCGGCGGATCTGCAGCCTCCTTAGTTCTCCAGGGAAGGACTTCCTCTTCTTTTGGGCTTCCCAGGGGATCTGCAGCCTCCTTTTGGGGGTCTACGGCCTCCTTTTGAGCAGGCACTTCAATGCCTGCACCATTCTTCGAATTGGCAGCCTCTTGCGCCTGTCCAACATCATCCTCAGGAGTCGAGAACTTAGGCTCTCCTCCCTCTGTTGACATGCGGAGAGACTGAATGGTGGCCTTGAGAGTTACGTTTTCTTTGGAAATCTGATTCACCAACATTCGAAGTTCTTCTCTTTCTCTCTGATCACGCAGCTGTTGTTCTCTCAATTCTTCCAACCACCTATCTCTTTCTGTAGATTCTCTTGCAAATCTATTCTCCTCTTGATTCAAAAAGGCAGGACGTGAAGCAAAAGGAGTGAAGACTGATTGAGGCGGTGCATACAACCAGGAGGCTTGATTTTGAAGAGCTGCCATTTGTTGAAACTGCTCTGGTGTGAACAACGGTGCGGCTGACATGGAAACTTCAGCCCCACTTGGCACTCCTAACCCACCTCCCTGTGACGTGACGCTGGCCTCCTCTCTTTTGACATCAGTAAACGGCACCTCTCGAGACCCAACAGCCTCTTTTGTTGCCGAACTCGATGTCCCTTCTTGCTTTTCTTTTCCCTTAGTGGTGCCAGCTGGTGTCCTCAGTCCAGGTGATGCAAACTCCTGCGGAGACATCCTTGGTGGATCAGTTGGCGGTGGTGTCATTGGCCCTGCAGTCTCTGGCCCTGAAGTGGCACCTGGTGGACCATTTGAAGTTGGATTTCCTTCGGAATCAACTTTGGTCTCATCAGCTATTGGGGGTGCACTTACTACTCCTGAACCTTCTTGACTACCTTCAGCCTTGACATCTTCTATTGGCATCTCTCCTCTCGTTTCTGCCTCTTTCTTCATCCTCTCTTCTGCTAACTTCATCTCACGTTGTCCCTGCTCTATCTCTTTGGTTGTTGCCCTTCTTCTTTGTATATTCATCGCCCAGTGGTGGTCACTTTGGGCTCATAACCTACTCCAGTATGGATGTAGGTATGAGGATTCCAGCCCTTATGATGTTACACTTCTCGATTTGTGCACCACCAAGTCGCTCGTCCCCACACCTCCTTTCTTCTGCCAAGTTGCGGTTTGAGCTGTAAAAAGGGCAGCTGTGAATACAGCCAGGATTGAATTTGAGATGTCACATGTTTATGGTGACATGTAGTGAAAAATCAAATGAAGGATCAGCAAATTTCATCCCCATGACATTTCGATTTGCAGCCGAATTAAAGCGGATTGTCAGTTTGTACAGCAACTATTATTAGTTCTAACACAGAGCAGAATAATCTAACTAATAAGGCTGTGACCACATACATATACATACATATAACATGTAATATATGCACTAATTTCGGATGCTATCGTAAAAAATGAAAATGACATGATATATATATATACATATATATACATATATACATATATATGTTGCGTTGAACAAATAAACATCTATTCTAAACATGTTTAAAAGCTTCCAAACCCCATCTTCGGGAGATACTCTTCGCGTCGCCGACCTTCCAGGCCCGAGGAAAGGAGAAGGCCAAGGCAGGTGCAAAGAAGTGAGCACAGCGCAGCCTGGAGCTGGGACATGGCACAATGCGGCGGTTTGGGTGTGAAAACAATGCGGCTGGGTTCGGACCAGGGAACAGGGCACGGTTCTCCGGTAAATAAGGTAATGGGTAAAAACCTTAATTGACCATGATAACAACGGGGCTAATTATTTCAAGACTTCGGTTCAGAATAAACGTAGTCATCTTAATAAGTAACAATAACAAACCCATGACGGATCCATGGTGCTGGTATATATGCTAACATGACTGGGGTATATTGATGGGATCCATGGAGCACCATATATAGCAGCACCATGGATCCGTCATGGGTAATAGCCACGAATCTAATGGATGAATGATAGCCATGGTAATATATAGCAGCATAATATCCAATGGTAATAGAACATAATAGCCATGAATCAGTCATTGTTATTCTGATCATAATGTCCTCATCGTAACATCAACGAATCTCCACGGGATTTGAATTTCTCTGTGTTTTACGTGACCTCGGTGACCTCGGTGACGTCACACAAGGTGCTTCCATGAGATTCCCCCTGTTGACAAAAAAAAACATGGAATATCCGGCTGAACCTTACGCTTCCCTCATTTATAATTTCATTTATTGGTTACCCAAGCCAGATATAAACCCATTGCCGATGAAATCCCGGTGTTCCAAAGGTGCTTAGTCAAGCCATTGGTTTGGTTAGCATTTTTCTTAGCTCAGCCCCAATCTGGAAAATAACTTTGGATTGGTAAAATGGTTGGTTTCACAAGAGACACTATATATCTATATGTCTTGCTTCCGCAGCGGCCTGAAGACAGCCGGCTTGCAGCCCGGCGGCCTGCTGACATCTTCTTGCCTTTCTTTGGGGGCTCTCCTACCGCACTCGACATCGCCATCACGGCGCCACAGCGAAGGGAGAGCTTGCTTGAGGCAGGCAAGCAGGTGGTGCAGCGGCCGCAGCCTATGCCAGGGTGAAGGCCCAGCATCTGCAGACTGCTGCTGCGTGCGAAGGGCAAGGGGTTCGGTTTCAGCCCATGGTCTTTGAGTCCACCGGTGCCTTCGATGCATCTACCGGCCAGGTCCTGCAGCAGCTCGCCAGAGCTGTCGCAGCCCGTGCTGGAGGAGATGCTTCGGAGCTGCATGGCCAACTCCTTCAGGAATTGTGCAGCACTGTTCGGACCTTTCGCGCCCGTGCAGCCCTTCGTCGCCGAGTGGAGCTTGGCGAGAATACGGGGGTGGCTGCTGCGGCCGTGGTGCTGCGCGCTCCGGCGGACGAGTCCTGACCAGTCCTGCACACCATCTTCTGAGCGGCGTTCTGAGCGCTTTGGGCCTTGGGTCTGTTACTGTAGCTTTTTGTTTTGATGCTGGGGTGCACCTTGAGGGGCTGCTTTGGCTGATCCTAAGGACGCCTTAAGTTGCCAATCTCCTTTACCAATGCATCCCCTTTTTTTGTCTCTGGGGTTGGCTCCCAGCTTCTGTGCTTCTCCCACCTTTTTTTTTCCTGGTCCCTGCTTAGCACTCGGTACCTCTCCTTAAGGGAGCGGCGCCTTGCCGTTTTTTTTTTTGGTGGCATGCCAGCTGGGTCAGCGGCCCTTGTTTTCCTTTTTTTCCATATTTGTCCATAGATTTTGCTGAAATCCAACTGTAAGAGTTGGAGGATTTCTGAAGCTAGTGCCTGTGCACTCACAATTTGTCACTTGACCTGTTTGCACCTGGACATCATGTCCAACTGCTAGTTCTATCTATATGTTAAACTCATTTTTTGCTCGTTTTGCCATAGGTGGAAGAATCTACCAGGCTAAAAGCAAGCGATGTGTTGTGGGTGCAAACATCAGCTACAGGACTACGTGGAAACCGATCTGCGCTCACTGCTCAGCAGGACACCGCGGGACGCCACAGTGGTGATGATTTTTCATCTTGATGATTTTCTGATATAATAACTGGTTGGTGGTGACTGGAACCATGGAATGGATTAACTGACTTTCCCATCATATTGGGAAGGGAATAACATCCCAACTGACGAAGTCCATCATTTTTCAGAGGGGTGGCTCAACCACCAGATTGATGTTATATACTATATACCCTCTGGTAATTTAACGTAGCTATTGAAAATGACCATTTATAGTGAGTTTTCCCATTAATAGCATGGTGATTTTCCATAGTTATTTGTATGTTTACCAGAGGGTATATACATATGGTAATGTTATTTTCCATAGTTATTTGTATATTTTCCATAGTTAATGTATTTTTATACTATATTTCCATATGTTTTTCTAAATCTGTCCATTCAAAGTCAGCCTTGACGAATGGCATGGGACAAAGCTTCGAGTCCTCCCAGTCCGATTGTGGCGTTCAAAAGGACACCATTGGGATGTTTGGGCGAGCATGTTACCCTCTGGTAAACCTACAAAAAACTATGGAAAATCACCATTTTTAATGGGAAAATCCACTAAAACTATGGAAAATCACCATGCTATTAATGGGAAAACTCACTATTTCTATGGTCATTTTCAATAGCTGTTTTGACATAACCAGAGGGTAAACCATGTTAAAACTGGATCATATTTTCTAATTACCATCCAGTAGTGAAACAGTGAAACAGGAGGGAAATAGGTGGGCATTGAGATGGGAAACGTGGACCTTTATAAGTGGACCCTATCTATTTTCCATGGACCCTTATACAAGGGTTGTGGGGGTCCACTTAGAAGTGGAAAATAGGACAAGCATTGTATTTCTAGCTCTTTTCTTTTGGGACCCCCAAAAATGTGGAGTCATTCTGTGCGCACATGAATGGGTCAGGGTAAACGGATGCCAAAAGTAAACATATCAGATCATCATTATATGCAATGAGCTGACTACAGACTATATACATAATTACAGACCAAAAACAGACTGACTTTGAGTATTTCTACATGACATGACCGACATGACCCTGGTTCATCATTCCCCCAATTGAGCTTATCCTCGCCAATAAACCCCACTAAGTTACCAACCAGTTACCATCCAGTGATCAAATCAATAAGTTGTATATTCACAATGTGTATTTATATACCTTCTGTCTATGACCAAGAGTTTGCCATGGTATAGATGGCCCTAATCGAAATAGATGGTTTACCTATTAATAGCATGGTGATTTTCCATGGCGAACTGTTAAATAACCAGAGGGTAATTATATATATATATATATATATCTGGGTAAATTATAACGACCTCACTGCGACCTCACTGGGAATCATGGTTAATAAGGGAAATCATCCCCAAATGGCCTTAATTCAGGTTATATAGTGAAAGATTATAATTTACCCAGATATATATATATATAATCATACTATATCCCTTGATGTATCCCAGCACATCCCTATGATCTTCCTGCCTTTACCTAGCTCTGGTACTCTGAAACATGGTGTTTCACTCCATGATTTTAGTACTTAAAAACAAGTTTGGGATAGTTTTTCAGGGTCTACAATGCGGGACCTCCCAGTTATAAATTGATTCATAAACCCCAATAACATCCATTAACTATACGTAGAAAAATATCATATAAGTGTCATAAACCTTGGAGTTAACCAACTTAGCTATTGAAAATGGCCCAGTAGAAATAGTGGATTTACCCATTAATAGCATAGTGGATCGTTCCAGTTCGCAAACTGTTGCCCTGTGGTTATGTCTAAGAAAAGCTATTGAACATGGCCATAGAAATAGTGGATTTACCCATGAAAAATAGTGGATGTTCCAGTTCGCAAACTGTTAGTTTACCATAGAAATAGTGGATTTACCCATGAAACATATTAAAACATGGTGGATCTTTCCATCGTTTTTTGTATGTTTACCAGGCCGGGTATAGCAATTTCCCACGAGATCCGCCAGTATCTCTCGACGCCGCTCCGTGGTCTCTCTCCGCGCCACCGGACATTTGCTGGTGCCTGGGACCATGACCCACAGTGAGCTACGTAGAATCACCATGTTTTACAGGTCATGTCAACCCCGGATTTTGCTAAACCATGGTTTATGACAATTAAGGAAGTACTCCTCCAATAGTCATAGTCTGATACTTAAATGGTAGTCTCCCAATTAAACAGCCTAGAAGTTTATTAATCCAGGGTTGACATTAAACGGTAAACCATCAGAATTAATAATCTATAATCTATGTCCAGGTAGCGAACTGGAAAATAAGCGTATGTTTTATAGGTAAATAATGTTTTGTTTATAATCTGTTCATATGGGCCATGGAATTCATGGATATGTTAAACACCAGAGAGTATCTGGGAAAATTTGTAACATGCCCTAAGCCAGGATAGGGAAAATCCATGATATTTGGAATGTTACACATCTACGGATGATATTTGTTAGTAGGGGGATATTGGCCTTAAAACTTGTTTAGGACATGTTATATTTTTGCCATATATATATATAGTAACCTCCAAAAAGATAGAAAAGATAGAAAAGAAGACATTTACCGCGACTTGAGGGGATTTTACAGTTCTATCTTTTTGCTGTTGGCTATTTGCTATGTATATATATATACATATACATATTATGTAAATTTATGTAAGATATCGCCGATACAACTGGGGAAACCTTGGGCATGGGTAGTGATTCCAGAAATAGATAGGGCTAGGGGAATAACTACTCAACTAAAAGGTGTACCACCTTTAACGGTTAGTATCTAAGTTTGGTCATGAAGTGGATATGGTTGCTTCTTGTTCTTGATCAACAAGTGTTTTGTTCTGCCAACAGATGACGTCTTGAAACATGTGGGCGCCATGGGTCCGATGGTATGGTAAACCTACCCTCTGGTAAACATACAAATAACTATGGAAAATAACCATTTTTCATGGGAAAACTCACTATTTCAGTGGCCATTTTCAATAGCAAACTGTTAGTTTACCAGGCCGGGTATAGATACAAACTCCAGTCATTTTCCTACACCAGATCTAATCTAAACTTGGTTATCCCCACATTGGTGGGATTTCTGAAGAGACCAACTAATATTTGGTGGGGCAATCGTGTACATACATATGCATATATATGTATAATATGTGTCTATATATATATACTGTAGATTGGTCATACCCAAATAGCCCATACCAATTAGGTGATTCATACAACGCTCGTAGCCTTCCACAATTCTGACTGACGCCCAGGTCAATTGAATCATTATTGTAGGGAACATCTATGGGGAAGCCATGGCTTTTACCGACACATTTGTACGAATTTCCGGTTTTTCCTTAAACCAGGTCTAAGAACATTGCAAGAAAAATGTGTTCCATCGGTCTTGAAAAAACAAAAAATCCAAGGTTTGTTCACCAAATTGGTTAACCATCACCCATCTCTACTTGGAGGATTTATCCCATTTAGTAACTAGTTAAACACCCTGGTAAGCCCCCTAATGGGTTTATCCCATTTAAAACTGGATTACAGTATAACCAAAAGAAGAGCTCGCCGATTACGATCTGTGGGGCGGTCCTCCCAGGATCCTCCAAGTATACCCTTTTGGAGCACTTTTCACCCAGAGCTTTTGAGCACCTGTCGAGGTTGGGGCGTGCAAAATCTACGTGAAAAAATGTAGCATTTTCGAGGCGCGAACAGGCAAAGTGGATCCAGTTATACCTTCTGAGTGGGTTGTGATCATAGGGTATGAAGTCCACAGGACAAACAGACACATTTCTCTTTTCGGGCCTCAAAGAGCTGTTGTCCTAAATGCCGATGGCAGCAGATGTTCCATGATGTTCCAGCATTTTCGCCACGCGAAACCAAACACCATGGGATAAACAGTGCGTGTGACAGATTCTTCGAGTGATTTTTTGGCAAGTGATGGTCACTTCAGACAAGGAATCCCAAAAAAGCATGAGGAATTTTGCCGGGCAAAGCCATGGGAAGGCCCTAAACTATGGGGAAATTGATAAGGAAAGGCGGATCAGTTTGGGCCTGTGATATTTAAGTTGGACTCTATTTTTTATGGTGACACGAATCATGACCAATGAATTGTGCTTGGGGTGTAGTTTTTTTCTAAATGGCTACAACCAGATGGGATTTTAAGCTCCAATCCGAACTCGGATACGATGGATATAAGCCCTGAAAAAACTATGGTGAAATCGAAGCGCTGAGTTCGTACGTGGAATTGCACCACAGAACTTTCGGCAAATGATAGACATCCAAGGTTTCATGAAATGGGGATACCCCGGTACCCCCAACTCGCATCAATGTTTGTTTGGTGATTTTCCTTGAAGTGGAATACAACATCCAGCTATTGGTGTACCACTCATTTAAATTATCCGTTTAACATATATCCATAATGTTGGCTACTGATTAGTGTGAGGGCCCCCCCCTCAAACAATTTGAGTATACTGAATAGCTCGCAGTTTTTGGCGCGCCCCCTCAACAATTTTTAGAAAAGTCAACTTAAGTAAGGATTTCAATTGAAATCAGTTTACTTTCAATTGATTTCAATTTACTTTCAATTGATTTTCAAGGGTTTAATAAGGCATCTAATTATTTGGAAAACCTTGCATTTCAAGGCTTTGAAAGATATGGCTTTCTAAAGTAAAGGACCAGCTTTACCCAAAGAAAGGTGTAGAAATGTTTTTTGTTTTTTTTCAACAACCCCAAAAAGCTGGTGTGCACAATAGGGTACCATCCAAACAATTATATGCCACTCATGAGGTACCGCCTTGAAAAAATGCCTGGATGCTGTTTTTTAATAAGGGTTTTGTAAGGCATCTAAATATTTGGAAAACCTTGCATTTCAAGGCTTTGACATGGATATGACTTTCAAAAGTAAAGGACCAGCTTTACCCAAAGAAAGGTTTAGAAATGGTTTTTGTTTTTTTTCAACCCCAAAAGCTGGTGTGCACAATAGGGTACCATCCAAACAATTGTATTGTTGAGTATCTGAGCCACTCATGAGGTACCCCCTTGAAAAATTGTCCGGATGCTGTTTTTAAATAAGGGTTTTATAAGGCAGCTAATTATTTGGAAAACCTTGCATTTCAAGGCTTTGACATGGATATGGCTTTCTAAAGTAAAGGACCAGCTTTACCCAAAGAAAGGTTTAGACATGTTTTTTTTTTTCCAACCCCAGCAGTTGGTGTGGACAATAGAGTACCATGGATGCTGTTTTTTCATAAGGGTTTAATAAGGCATCTAATTATTTGGAAAAATTGCAAAAAAATGCATCTGAGAAAACTAAATAAAAAATGAAAAAACTGAAAAAACAAACATCTCGGAAAAAAAAATAAAAAAAAAACAAAAAATTGGAAAACAGAAACAAAACAAATTGGAAAAAAACCAATCGGAAAAAAAACACTTTTCACAATAGAGGCTCCCCCCCAACACCAAGATACTCAATTAGGAAGTGAAAACTTGCCACAATAGGGTACCATCACACTAATCGGGTGCCAACATTAAAACATATATATCTAAATCTTCTATAAATCTCATTAAATGCCTATTTCTCTTGGTCAATTTACCATTTCCTATGGTTTTTCAATGTTTTTCATCAACATGTGGCCCCACATTGTCTGTCCATTTCTGTTCATATCTTTTGGTGTCGCCCTTCAGGAAGAGGCTGAGGAGGTGCGAACGGCCTTGATGATGGCGTGCCTCGCGGCATGTGTTGTGAGGGACATTCATGGGATGTAGAGCCAACCAATGGAAGTGGAAATACATATCCCTATGGATCCAAATCCTTTCAGAAGGGGTATTTGGCCCCAAAAATAATACCCCAAGTACTCCCTTAGAAGGTACTACTTGGATCCATAGGGTATATATACATTATATATAAATACAATATAGGTGGATAGATATAGAGTATATATATATATATATTTACACGTCTAACATTAAGATGGACAAAACATGGAAAAACACACCAATCTGAAGAGAGGGAGTTGGTGACCCCCAAAAAAAACGTGGGCCCTTACGACAGCGGTGCAGTTCCACTTGAACAAACGAGTGGTGCACCGAATAGCCTGTGAGCTTACGCAATATTCAATATTCTTTGGCTGTTCAGCCCACAATTCCAGTGATACCACGTGCCATGGGGGAAGCAGAAAGGAATTTGGAGGCGGCTCCACATCCAGCAGATGGAAAGATTAGTTGTAGCATGTGCTAGATTTTGCTACTGTACATATGTTTACTGTAAGCATTAAATTAAAGCCGATTGCAACTGCCTTGTCCGTGTTCAAATCATGAAGTGCTTGGATTCAACTAGTTGGCATTTTGAGGATGTCACTAAATCATAGTACGGTAATACCAACACTATGATGCTGATACTTGTGAACCAACAAAAGTGATATTACATATATAGCTCACAAGCGTTCAACAGTTGTGCTGTTGAATAAATGCATGTGGTTTACCGACCAATGTTTTTTTCCTGGTCAAATCCTGTTACGCAAAACAAAAAAATACAACACCCTGTTCCACATGATTTGATTGATTGGTTGGTTGGTTGGTTGGTTGGTTGATTGATTGATTAACATTGATTGACATTGATTGATTGACATTGATTGATTGACATTGATTGATTGACATTGATTGATTGACGTTGATTGATTGACATTGCCTGATTGACATTGATTGATTGACATTGATTGGTTGACATTGATTGATTGACATTGATTGATCGACATTGATTGATTGACATTGATTGATTGACATTCATTGATTGACATTGATTGATTGACATTGATTGATTGACATTGATTGATTGACTTTGATTGATTAACATTGATTGATTGACATTGATTGATTGACGTTGATTGAATGACATTGATTGAATGACATTGATTGATTGACATTGATTGATTGACTTTGATTGATTAACATTGATTGATTGACATTGATTGATTGACGTTCATTGAATGACATTGATTGAATGACATTGATTGATTGACATTGATTGATTGACATTGATTGATTGACATTGATTGATTGACATTGATTGATTGACATTGATTGATTGACATTGATTGATTGACATTGATTGATTGACGTTGATTGTTTGACATTGATTGGTTGATTCATTGATTCATTGATTGTTTCATTGATTGATTGATTGGTTGGTTGGTTGATTGGTTGATTGAAACCGGTCTGGGACTGCAAAAGTGATGGGAAAATTGAACCACCAAAAACTATTTAAAAAAAATCAAAATAAAACTTGTTCCTTGTTTTGCAGTCGCGCAATCTGAGTTAAATACCAAACAGATGCCCATCAGCAAAGGTGGCGAACTTCAGGTGGACATGGTCCCGATGGTCCCAGCAGGGAAGAAATCTATAGGATTAAGAATTGGAAGATTGGCTCTATATCTATGGCCTTTTTTGATATCTGGTTGATGTAGGGAACGTAGCAAAATTGACTACAGCCAACAAATACGTAAACATGATATAAACCATTGCAACACTATAGAATCCCTGCACCGTCGGGACCTCGCCACCGCCTCGCATCAAGAGATATCAACAGCCCAGATGCTCAGGGCAACAATAATCCCTATGCTTCCTAATTACCACTATAATATAAGGAACCAGAGCCTGGTTCCGAGAAAACTTGGAACCACGCCGGTGGTGTTGGTTCTGAATGCAGTGGTGTTGTGCATTACTTCCTGTTCTCGGTTCCATGTATATAATGCCAAGTTCATATTAATAACCCCCCCCATGCATAGAAGGTAAAGGTAAAAATCACCACCAATTAAAAAATTAGGGCTTGTCATACAAAAAAGCAGCCAACCTGCCTGCCAATGGGTCGAGATTTCTCTTTTCAGTGGCAACCTCCCTCCCAATGGGGTGAGATGGTGAAATTGGGCATGGATGGGCATGGGATTTTTCAACCATTAAAAGCACGATTAAACCCATTTAAAACATAGTTACATCCTGACTACCATTGACTACCACAAAATTAGGATGTCTGAGCAGGGTGTTGTCTAACAGGGGGGTCGCACATGTTCATTAATAGGGAGGGACTAGCCCAAAGTAGTATTGCCAAACATTTTTTGGAATGTGGGTGTTGATTAATTCGCGCTGATTATATGAAGTTAACATCTTTTTTACGTGTTCCGGCCTCCTATTTCACATTTCTAATGTTCGATGTCGATAGCTTGGCGCCACTACAGGGTGCTTGAGTGAAGCCGCACGGGCTTGTCGAAAGTCGTCCGGAACTCCTGTGCAGCATCAGGTTTGTATGCCAACGTGTGCGCCTTGGAGTCCGCGTACTGGATCTTACGAGATATTTTGTCCATTCTTGCCCACGGCTGTTGCCGCTCCCATCATGACTGAAAAATGTGACCTCTTCATCTAGCGCATGGCATGTGACAGTTTTCAATTGCTGCTTGTAAGCGCCGGCATTTCCAGATGATATTTCCGCGCAAGCATGCCGCATAGACCGCGATGTTGAAGATAGATCTAGATCTGTGAATTGGAGTGGCACAAGGTGACCGGTATCTTCCACTCCAGGTGGACCAACCACTCCTTCAGCCACGCGTACAGGAGCCTGATCATTCCATCATGAACATGAACTGACCTGGGATTCGGAGTGGCAGGTTCAGTCGCCCCACAGACATGCAGGTGGATCCGTGGGGAGCGCAGGGTAGCCCTTGCAGGCGTTTCCCTTCACAGCTGGGTTTTATCTAGCGATGATGTTTCGCCTTGTGACCACATCATTCACAGATCGTTGAGCAAAACCCAGGGGGTAGCCCCAAGGTGATCTTTGGATCGGATGGATCCCGCGACAACTGACAAGTTTCTTTGAAAACGGTGGTCAAGCCAATTTGTATGAGGTTGTTTCAAAGATGGTGGTTGCTATAATATGTATAGGTCATTTACAATCCATTCTTCACTAGTGGAGACGTTTTGAAGCTCTAGTAGTTGTGGGATTAAGGAGGGGGCTGCAACCAACTGTTCTTGTTTTGCTGCATTGGATTTGACAAAGGTCAAAATTAGGAGCAAACCGCCTCCGAATCGATTTTTTTGTTGGGGAGACATTTGGCCATGATTTCGCCTAGGGCTGTTGGAATCCAGCTCAAATAGTTTTTCACCATGAAGGATCAGGGCTTCAATGCCAACAGCAAAGGGGAACGCATCATTCATAGATGGGATATGCGTTCTCTTAGTCTGGCCAAAAAGCAGCAGGCAAATCACGAACAAACGTGGATGTTGTCAAAACTAGATTTTCAGGCGTGCCTCACCCACCGAATGTGGTGATTTTTTGTCGTTAGTTTTGACAAACCAAATTTGGACTTGGTCTCAGACTGTCTGAAATAATTTTTCATAAATTTCATTGTCATAGATTAGATTAGATATTCATAGGTTATCATCAATTTCACCATTCCAATTCGGTCGTCCCGCGACGCCCCTTGGAGGCGGCCGAAGAGCTTGCGCCGATTCGGGAGGCGGGGATAACCAATTACTTTTGTGTATATATGGCTCATAGCATAAGTCTTTGGGGAAACAGGCTGGATGTGTAGTCAAGTACTCCATTTGTTTGCAAAAATGAGGATATGGTATTCAAAGCAGCAGATGCAAAACAATAACGAAAATTTGTCATGCTAGTAAAAAAATACCGCCATTATTGGCCCCCATCATGAATGTATCCCATCCTGAACCAATGTTTTCCGAGTGCTATTTGATATTCGAGACAATGGGCTGCAAGTTGGGGTTCCAAATCCAATCATGTCAAGAAACATTTTGGAGAGGATGTTGTGTGCCCTCGCAGGAATCAACGCCAAATTTAATAATTTGAGGAAGAAAAAACGAATGTACATCACAATTATTCTCAGTAAATTTCTGGTTTTAATTCTTCACACGTATACATCACAGTTGTACAAGCACGCTCATTGTCAATTATTTTGGTTTCCATCTTTTTGGTTATTTGATGTTCAATTACTTTCCTTCGAGTGATCCCCACCCTGAACCACTATTTTGACATAATTTCTGACATACCATCTGGAAGTATATATGGCATAGTTAGCATAGTTATTCTGACGTTCTATCTGGCATCTGTGCTGACATACTTTCTGGCATATACGTTGACATTCCTTCTGACATTCTATCTGGCATTTATTCTGACATACTTTGTGGCATATATTCTGACGTTTTTTTTGGCATTCTATCTCGCATCTATTCTGACATTCTAACTGAACTGGCATCTTTTCAGGCATTCATTCTGGCATTCTTTCTGACATTCTCTCTGACATTCTTTCTGGCATTCTATCTGGTATATCTTCAGAGATTCTTTGTGGTTGAGGTCTGGCAGGGGCTTGCAGTTGAGGTCCGGCCGGGACCACTCTGATCCGGGATTTGCTGTTCGGGCCTTGCCGGGGCCACTGCGATCTAGCGCTTGCAGTCGAGGTCCGGCGGGGGACCACTCTGATCCCGGGCTTGCTGTTCAGGTCCGGCGAGGACCAGCGCGATCACGAGCTTGCAGGTAGGGTCCGGCAGATCCTGGGTTTGCTGCTCAGGCGCGGGGGGGACCACTGCGATCTAGCGCTTGCAGTTGGGGCCCGGAGGAGACCACTGCGATCACGAGCTTGCAGTTGAGTTGAGGTGGCGGCGGAGGTGGATGAGGAGGAGGAGGAGAAGGAGGAGAAGGAGGAGAAGGAGGAGGAGGCCAGCTGACATAAAATCTCGCAACTTTCACCTGACAGGTGGGGAAAAAATGGTTCTGTCCCTGCATGGTGTTTCCATCTCCATCTCTGAGATTCTTGTTATGTGGTATTGTAAATTCAACAAAGTCTTTCCGAGCAACCAACCAGTTGGACCCAGTTGGGAGTCATTTCACATTTCCTAGACATCATGTCTAACAGGGGTACTCCCAACAATATATCCCCACTGTGATGGTTTATTAGTGATCTGAATCCAGCTGACGTATTGTTGGCCACAGGTCCGAACACACACGGCGCCTCCGGATCAGGCGTGTCCAGAGTCAAAATTTTAGATGGGGGAAAGTGGTGAAATTCTGAAATTGTGACCAGCAAAATTGTGGTTTTCCCCTATTAAGATAGGTTTGGAAATCGCCATTTTGATAGTTGCATCATCTATCATTGGACCATTTTCCGTAGCTATGTTATGCTATGCTAGTTTACTGGGGGGTGCATGGTTTTATCACGTTTTTCTTCTGAGAAAAATAAAGCAAACCATCATTTGTTCATATTTTTTTATGAAACTGATGAAGGGTTGCATGGCCGAGGTTCCTTTCACTTGGGTACCCTGGTTTTGTATCGCCAACATGAAACAATTTATGATATTCCAACTCTTGTTAGTCATACCGTTGGTTTGCATGCCCATTTTGATTGTATATATCCCTAGAAATTATTTATAATATATATTATATATATATAGACATAAATATTACTGTCCGCACTTAATTTGTTTGAATAACATTTTTATTTGAAATTTCTCCGCATTTCTGTGTATATGTTCAGTTCGCAAGACATTCATTGCTTTCCATTTTGGTAGCTACCTGTCGTTCTGCTGAGCAGGCTCTGCTGGGAGGGAAGCGGCACATGGCACGCATTGAGGCTGGGCGTTTCTATGAGGTAGATCAACTAGCGTTTATTCTAGATATATCGAGCCTGTAACATCATGTAAGAAGTCAATTGGGTTTAAAAACCTACAACCATAACTGCATCGATCATCACCATCATAAATTGATAATTTATTGCCATTCTATGGTGATATCATGGGAATGTTACCATCATTATCCCAGAGAGTGATCACTGATTCATTTTGCCGTATCAGTTTATTAATTATCAAATTGTAAACAAACTACAGTAAATAACTGGTTGGTGGTTTGGAACATTTTTTCCATATATTGGGAATGTCATCATCCCAACTGTTACTCACTCCATCATTTTTCAGAGGGGTAGGCGAAAAACCACCAACCAGATAACGGTAACGTTTGTTCTGACGTTCCCTTGGGGCCTGGCTTTGCGGATCTCATCCGCATGGCGAACGCAGGACATCACCTTGAAAGACAGCAAGGAAGCCACGGTGCTGGGGAGCTTGGATTTGGATGGGCCCTCCGTTGCTTGTTGCGTTCAGTTGCCTAAAAAACGTGGCTGAATTCGATTGGCTTTATGGATAGAACATGATATTTCACGGGGTTTATAAACCAACTTCTAACTGGAGTATATACATATTTTGGCTGTTCAATGCTAGTAATATATGGTTGCTTTTATGGTTCATGTTTAACATTACCTTAATGTTGATATACGTTCAATATATGATATATGGTATGATGGTATGTGTAATGATCAATCATACATGATGAGTATATTGTGGCTATATCCCTGTTGCAAATAGGGTAATCATTGGAGATGATATGTTTTTGCTGTTTTGAAAAGGTTGAGAGATAATCCGATCCACTAATTTGAGATGAGATTGAAGAGTAAGGGGTTATCAAACCAAAGAAACATATGGAAACTGTATGACTGCACCAGAACGATCAAATTGTTAGTTATCCTTTGGGGAACTGTGTGTTCGTGTACGCATCCACATTTCTCGAAACATCATCTCCTGTTTGTTGTTTGCCCCACTTGCCACCTCTTGGCCTTTGAAGTGGTCAGATCTTGGCGAGGGCCGGAAAAGAAATCAAGGAGCAATTGCAGGGACTGAACGTCCCATTTTTGTGCCGGAGAATTTCTAAGAATATTGGTTTCAATACACACATCACACATCATATTAATATATTATGCACTGTAGTGTATCTGTATATGTGTGTGTATGTAATGTATTTCTTTATAGTGGTATGGTGTATCCCCAAAACCATTGCTTTTCATCTAAACTTAAGTAGTTCATGTTTTTCATGACTTGGGGCTGCCCTAACAAAGTTTTCGGAACTTGCCTAGCCTGAAGAAATCCTTGTCTACCCTCTGGTAAACTAACATAACTATGGAAAATCACCATTTTTAATGGGAAAATCCACTATAAATGGTCATTTTCAATAGCTATGTTAGGTTACCAGAGGGTAACCCCATCAATTTCCCTAGGCCGCTGCAAGAGACCGACGACCTCTTCGGCTCATTGTCGCAAGGTGAGTTGCAGGCTGGATCTGTGGTCCAGCTGCCGTCCCGGGGCTATCCGGGGTTTTCGCTGGTAGTGGGCAATGCAACGATTATCCCATTTGTGAGTGGGTGAGAACCATACATCAATCATCAAGACCATGGCATGGCCCCAAAAAAACTAGAAAAAAACTATAGTTCCTGTAATTGTATTGCTTTAAACAAGTCAGGAATAGCCTTAAACATTGAGTTTGATATTAAAGATGTTCCCAATATTGTCCGAAATGGGATGCCCGCCAGTGACATGAGTCGTTGTAAACCATTGTAAACCCATCTTCAGATATCTTCAGATGTTTGCTGTATCACCAATGTGGTTTTTGTTTTTTATTTGATTTTGTTGATGTAAAAATATGTAGATTTCCTATGTGCTGGCAGCTTAGATTCCATGTTTTACTGCTTTGAGTCAACCGTCACTTCACGCATGAACAATCACTTTACTTACAATGCGTATCTTAAATCCACATCTAAACAATACTGACCGAACATGTTTTGATCCATCAACAACTATGACACTATGACAATTTCACTATGGCATCTTAAATCAAGAAGTCTTTCATTGATTATCTACACATCTACAATCAATAACTATCAATAACTATAACATACCTCGGGACTCAGAAACTTCCGCAGCAGGAGGTCACGCGCCTGGTGCGCAAGCGTGTTCTGCCCAAAGGCGCCTTAGAGGCCCGTTGACCAACATGGCTTCAGACTTCGCAAGCAAAATGGCCAACAAGCTATAGAAAATCACAATTGTTTAATAGGTAAACCATCTATAAATGAAAACTATCATATCTGGTTTGTGGTTTGGAACATGAATTTTATTTTCCCATATAGTTGGGAATAATAATCCCAACTGACGAACTCGTATTTTTCAGAGGGGTAGGTATACCACCAACCCGCCAAAAAGTATGAACATGTTGTAGTGGTTTAAGTCAGCAACACGAACAATAGTGAATGCGAATTATGAAGCTTTAGTCATAGAATTGGATGATGGGAACATGTACAGGAAAACCCTATATTTGATGGTAAAAAACATGGTTTCCTGTATATAGATTTTCCCTTCAACCAATCCATTGATTTAGCCACTAAAAACCAGTATCAATATGGTGTAACCAAGCAGCCAACAGAGAATCATGTGATATCAAGAGATCTTACCGATTTGGCCATTTATGCCTAAAGAGGGTGTCTTTCTGGACCCAGAACAGGCAAATTAGTCGTTATGAATGATCAAACCATTCATTAGTGTTGAGATATTTTGAGCCACATTTAGAGATTGATTCGGTGTTTGATCAACAAGAAATTGGGAAATCGCCAATAGTACTATATGCAAATATTGTCTTCGCTAATGAGTGGTAATTCCAAGTCGATTTTATCAAGCAAGTGTCCATGGCATTCCCCAAATGAGGACCGTTCTATGTTTCCCGAAACAATGGGTGGAATACATTCTGGGCATAATGGCCTACCCAACATGTCTTGCATGCTCTATGGTGCTGGAATATCTACTAACATTTGCAATTAGTTTATCTAAGAATGACACAGTCATATAGGAACAAATACCAGCTATGGGTATAAATGATTTCATGACGATTAAAACATGTTGTCACACAATTGGGCAGCCAGTTATATATATGTCATTATTATACCCTGGTCATTTGGTTTGGGAATATCTTGCAGTTGTTACAAATGTGACTTGGATACGAGGTGGCAGGGTTTCAGGCTGGTGAGACCCATATGAGAAATCAAGGCCAAAGATGTCATACTACGGTCCGTGCACTTATGGTGTTTACATCTTCACTCCAGATTGTTTCGAAACGGAGTGCTTACAGTTTACAGGCTGATACTTGTTGTTCTTGTCAGGGACAGATTACCATTTATCTACTGCATTGGTGCTTCAAAATGGGAAACATGGTCTCATGATGTCTCATGCCCCCATTGGTCGCATGCCCTCATTTTTTGCCTGATGGATAAACAAATCTTCATGGTTTGTTCCTGGAAATTTTACCCAAGCAACGTCCTTTCCGCGAATTCTATGTACTCATCGCATCTTATAGCATCTTATAGCAACCATTTTTGTTAACCGTTAACCTGATTGGCAACATCACGGTGGACATGCCCAGATCATCTGCGCATGTTTTGCTTTCAGTTTTCAGAACGGGATGACAGGGACCATTAAATCCTACCCCAACAACTTCCTCAGAAGCTACACCTGGATCCGTAAATTTCGTAGTTATGTTAGTTATTTCAAGCAACGCAGCAAAACTGTGGGCTACGCGGCTACAACATTCAAATATGTGCAGGGCGGGCCAGACCGCGAGGCCCAGGAGGTAGTATAAAATACTAGTTCGAATATTTACCATCTGGTTATTTAACATAGCCATGGGAAATCACCATTTTTAATAGGTAAACCATCTACTGTATAAATGGGCCATTTTCCATGGCTATGTTAAATATCCAGAGGGTAAATGATTTTAAATGTGTATAGTTGCCGTACCATCCTCTTCAAGATCTGCCTGCCATCTCTGAGAAAAGCGCTTTCGAATCAGAGGCCCTGGAGTCCAAGACCTCCATCGCCGGTCAGAAGCACAGATAGGGAATTCCGGTGGCGCATGTGGACGAATGAGGGAAGCGTTATTCTTGTTAAAGTCACCAAATGGTGAAATGGGGTTGGGTCAATACCTATTAATACCATTTTTAGGGGGATGAACATCCATTTACCAGCTATTTTGATGTTCACCAGGGGTACAAGGTTTTGACACACTGCCAAATGGGGATAACGTTGGATATAAATGGCTGTTGGATTCTTCGATGGTTCAGTTTCTTATTTCGCCAACGTTGCGTTGCCTAAGTTCACCTTTTGTCACTACCAAAATTCAACAGGGGCCATGATTGACCTTAGCAGTTCACAATGTTGATGGTTGTTCAAGTGTGAACAATAGTATTTACCCTCTGGCAATTTAACATAGCTACTGAAATGGTCCATTTATAGATGGTTTACCTATTAAAAATGGTGATTTTCCATGGCGAACTGTTAAATAACCAAAGGGTAGGTATATACCAGTCACTCCTGAGAAACCATAAATTTGCAGGGCCCTCTTGTGACCTTTGCAGTTTTAACAAGTTCAATTCCCCTGCTAATAGAGACCTACCCCCATGCACACCCTGGACCTACCAGGGTGGTCACCCATATTCATGACTGCTGAGAGATGTTGGTACTTTTGGTAAATCATTCCTAAATATTGGTAACCATTTGGTATCAAACTTAAATATTGGGGTAGATCACTACCAAGCCACTAGTGTGCAGATAAAAACATGACTAAAATATCTTGGCTGTTGTTTTTTTTCAGTAATTAATGTGTCATTCAATTGCTAATATAGTCTGGTTGGTGGTTTCAAACATTTGTTATTTTCCATAATATATGGGATAATCCTTCCCATTGACTTTCATATTTTTCAAGATGGTTATTGCACCACCAACCAGTAGTGGTTTTTTAACTTACATCTAGACATGCTTCCGATTCTTTGGTGACTCTTTTCAGGAGAGTTGAAAGAACCACCCATCAAGTCACCCCCTGAAATCACCCATCTTCGTGGCGATGTTTGGCCCCCCAATCAGGAAAAAAACATCATGTTTAATGAACATAACACGAATTATCCATACATCTATCATGTATTAACATGTATTAACATGTACTGTAATAACAATGTGATATATATATATATACATATGTAGTGTGTACATAAAGATATATATATATATATATTATATATATTAATGTATGTGTGTATGTATTATATATATATGTGTGTGTGTGTGTCCAGTTTCCAGATGCAAGTCCAGTTGTGCCTATCCTGCCTTCGCCACTGCCGCGCCAAGATCTCGACTTCGACACCATGCCTCTGGTGGCCCTATCGGACAAGCCACAGGCTGGGTCCATGGCTGGAACTATTCGTGGGTTCAACGTGTTTCAAGAGAGAAAAAGGGAAAAGAAAGGCTGTTTTTTCGCTGAAGAAAACGACGCCTATTTCTGAAGGGAAAAGAAAAGTAGTTGTTTTTTTTCGCTAAAGGAAAAAGACACCTACTTCTGACGAAGATAGTTGGAGCATCAAAAAAGGATTGCGAGGACAAAACAAAACCTGCAATGTTAGGCTCTCCAAGTGATGGTTGAGACAGACAATAAGATACAAAAAGAGAAAGTCTGAAAACGGATCCATTATTATTCACATTCTCCTACTTGGCATATATAATTACCCTCTGGTAAACTAACATAACTATGGAAAATCACCATTTTTAATGGGAAAATCCACTATTAACGGCCATTTTCAATAGCTATGTTAAATTACCAGAGGGTATATATAATATATGTTCCCACTATTCACATGATATGAAAGAATCCAAGGAACGTCAGCACCTGTGGTTTTTTTCGTGGCTGGCGCACCCATCCTGTTTGACTGGCACCCATTTCAGTGGTGACATATCCCCAAGGTCAAGTTATGTTTGCAGCACGGGGTCTTCAGTGCTTGCAGTATCCCCATTTCTTTGTTGGGACACCGGGACATGGGCACATCAAAATCGGGTGCCCATAGATTCTATGGGAATGGCTGGTATATTGGAAATGGATGACCGCTAAATTTGTGGATATGGGTTAAGATGTAGAGGCCCCCAAACATGGATTGTTTATGATTGCTTACCCTCTGGTAATGACTAACATAGCTATGGAAAATCACCATGCTATCAATGGGTAAATCCACTATAAATGGTCATTTTCAATAGCTATTTTGACATAACCAGAGGGTAATCCTAGGATGGACCGAATTCGAGGCGTCAAGAGTTAAGAGATAAGCAATCTTTTAGCACATTTTTTTTAGGCCCGCGTTTTTTTGGATCACAGTTTTTATCCATAGATAACCCGCTGCCGTGAGTTTGTAAAAAACAACAACTTACTGAGCGCAAAAAAAAACACATTATGTAGCTTAAATCATCTTAAATCATGTTAAGTCACCATGTTCCTACCTGGTTAGTTCAACCCACCCAGGTCGAAGAGGCGGATGATGATCTACAACTCGAAGGCGGTGCTTTTGTGGTGTTTTTGTAGAGGGTTTGTGTCGCAGCGACTGGGTGTCATCCCCAAATGGCGAACATTTCAGGTTTTGTTTTTGATGCATTTGGTGAGTCTTTTTGTTCATCCATTGAATCAATGTTTATTTTTTGCGGCCATTGTCAAGATATGCTGCCTTTGGGCCCGGTTTTGATGGATTTTGATGGCCTGCGCGGGCCCCTCTGAATTTTGGCTCAAGCTGAAGTGAAAACTGGACGGCAAGTAGGCGCCGAAGGATTGACACAGAGGCTGCTGAGATAAGCAGTAAGTGGGAACTTGAAACTATATGAATTGGTGGACAAACGAGTGAACCACTGTTTCAGACGATGTAAGTCCTGTCTTTTCTTATAATTAACTACTTTAACACATCTATCATCATTAAATTATTGGTGATGTATCCCATTATATATCATTATATCATATCTGGTTACATTCCAATTTATTCCAGTTATATCCACACAAAAAATAGATCATTCTCCCCATGAGATTCGATTGCGCGGTGCACCCCCAGTGAATCTTAGCTGGAGATCTTATCATCTCCAGCTATCTTATCTTCTATAGTACTATCCATTTGGCATAGAACATACTATTATATATCATCTATTATCATATGGATTGGACATGATTAGACTATATAAATTTATGAGGATTATGATATCATACGTACTATGATGATACTATAAATACTATATCCATTAAATATATAATCCCAATAGACTTTGGTACTCCCTGTTTTGGGGTACGTCATCACTGCTTCCTGCGAAACGCCACGGTGCTCCAAATGGCATCGAAGATCGTGGTGTGCAGTGAGACTGGGGCGGGGTGAGAGTAGCGAGAACACGGAGTGGTAAATGGCTATGGGTCAAAACCCTGGTACCTAGCAGTGAACCCCAAAAAAGAGCTTTTAAATGATGTAAATAGATGTTCGTCCCAATAAAATTGATAATAATAGGCTTTGACCCACCCCCAAATGTCCCTTTCTGGGGATGTGTTTCACATCACCGCCAGTCGTAGCTCTTGGACATTTACCAGCCCAGGGAGAATGGGGAGGTTTCAGCAGCAAACATGTTGATTTAGTATGATTTGACTACAAAAAATAGGTTCCAAGACACTCAAAGTACCCATTAATAGGGTGAAAGTACATCCATAATGAGGTAAAATACCCATTCTTATTGGTCAATGGAAAAAACGGTTTAAGCAACAATTACTGTAGCCAAGAAAAGTGTGGATTTGAACCAAGAACATTGAAAACATTGCCCAACAGACATAAGGGTTGTGTCACATGTAAGGAAGCAACATGTGGGTTAACCCATGATTAAGCATCATGAAACGAAGATCGTACCCTCTGGTAAACTTGCATAGCTATCCCCATTTTGTATGGGTAAATCAACTATTTCTATGGCAATTTTCAAGTTCGCAAACTGTTACATTACCAGAGGTTATCATATTTTTTCTGTGGTTGTTCTTTCCAGTTGTTCCCCAAAACGCCATTTTTTGGGGTTGATGATCCAACAAAAAAATGCTGCTATCAACCGCGGATGATGGACCACAGGGGGACCCTGAACTTCGGCCCAAAACTCTGTGATTGGTGGGCCACAGTTTCCCATGGAAAAAAGGCTGCAGCCAAAATCTGATTTTTATACATGTATAATACATGTATAATACATGTATACATGATGCTTCCCAGCCATTGAAACCTGCCAGACTTTTTTCGCTTTTTTGGGGCTGTATATATGGCACTTTGGTTTGCTGATGACGAACAGAGTCGTTCAACTACTTTAGTGGAGCTGGGAACCAAGAAATTCACGCTGCAGGCGGCAGGCAAAGAAGCTCTCATTCAGGACAGCGGGGAACAAAAATCATCGCCAGTGATGGGATTTCTTCTGGTAAACTCCAGAAAAAAAACCCTCCAGAAACAGACATTTATGAAAAAACACGACTGGGGAAAGCCAACGAAAAAAAAAACGAAAGGTAGTTAACTGGGTTTTCGATATCTAGATTCACTGGAGGGCAGGCTAGATATATCCCGATCTTGACCACCTTTGGAGCAGACAGAACATGGATTTATCATTACTTCAACTTACCCGAGATGAACACAACAGCATCGACCGTTAACCTGGGGCACCCCTTTTTGGATCCTCAGGAAAAACTACCTGGAACCGTGATTTGTTCAAGCCCTAAAGGAGGGTTTCCATGAATGGGGGTACCCCTAAATATCCCTAAATCATCCATTCATAGATGGATTTTCCCTTACAAACCATCCATGTGGGGGATTCCCTATTTTAGGATTAGGAAACACCCACATAAATGCAAATGGGTAACACTGTATCATGTTACTTTCTACAACCATTTGATCTGGTTCCAACTCTTAGTACTCCCTGACACCTTGGGGTAATTCCACTGACAAGTGGCTGTTTCTCATCCGCTTTCGCGAACTTAAAACTGACAGTACAAGTACTTAGTACTGTCCCTGTTCAGGACTCGTAGTACTCCACTTTTCAAAGGAATGGTCATCAATCCGTTTTTTCATAGGGACTCATGGACGGCATCCATGCGAATTCCCATTCTGGGGTGGGCCAGAGGACGTGACACCTGCCAATCACAATGTGCGGAGCCCGGAAAGATGTCCTCCAATCCCATGATTCACAAATATCAATCCGATCAATCCTGTATGCAATCCTGAAATTCACCACCGTGTAAGAAAATGCTAAGAAATATCAAGTCTCGGAGCGGCTCCGAGTGTCGAAGGAATTCTGGATGAGACTTGTTGCCCCTGAATTCTGTCGAGGAATCACCCCAATTGTTCACCTCTGAAGCACCTTTTTTTAAATCCGCTGAGACGGGTGCTGAAGTGGCCAGATATGAACTTGAAAGTCTACCCGAGAAGCGAACCGCCCGGGAGCCCAAGGTTAGGCCTAAAAAAGGACCGGGCGCGACCGACAGAGCCTGTGTTGTAAGAAACGTGAAGGAAATCATGACTGAGCCACAAATTGGGGGATTTCCATAGATTTCACTTAAACAGTAATGGGGTCTATGGGTTCAGAAGATGGAAGAAGTATGAAGAAGTTGGTTTGATCATATGTTTGCACAGAAAATCATGGAGGAATTATGGGTTGCAACCACTAAAGTTGATGAGTTTGTTTTCTGCAGAAATTTGGGCCGTGCTCCTCAGGTTTTCATGTTTGTTTCCTCCACAGCACCCACGGACCTTCCCAGATATTCAGCCCAGTAGATCTTGATGACATGAGCCAAGAATTATCCTGGCAGTAGATTTAGTTTGGTGTCAAGTCGCAGCTATTCCCTGTGCTAAACCATGCTATTCCCTGATATTTAGCCAACCCCAAAAGTTGGAAAAGGCAAATCCAGTGAACACAGTGTACTGGTGTACTGCTTGGTGGTTTCAAACATTTGGATTATGACTTTCCCATCATATTGGGAATGGAATAACATCCCAACTGGTCCGAACTCCATGATTTTTCAGAGGGGTAGGCGAAAAACCACCAACCAGTAATCCATTATAGTACCATTAACCATTACATAGGTATATTTAGAGTATACATGTTCCATTAATAACCATTTTCCATTAGTATGTACTTTTCTATTTGTTTGGGTTACTCTAAATCAATGAATTTATTCCTGGGTAATTTTACGGCTTCGACGTTGCCAATTCTGAGACGACTGAATGATTTGGATGGGAATGCCATCCTCCGATCCTTTTTGAGGAATTTATTGGATACCCGTTTGTACTACCAAAATTTCAGTCATGTAGTTTCACTTCAAGAAATATGTTTGAACTCCAAAAATGGATTAATTCTGCATATGTTTGATCTACTGTATGGATACTATTTTGAAATATAGATATACTAATATACATAAAATGACCTAGCAACCAAAAATAGTCAAAAAATGAGGTGTCCAAAATTGGTCTTTTTGAACCCCTTGTCACAGCATTTTAGGACACCTGTAAAAGTACTGGCCATTGTGGTAGGAATCGAGTTTTTTAGCTAATTATGACGACTCTTGGGTGGGGTGAAAAATGGATTGGGGTTGGCAAATACTATCCTTCAATTTAAGATTGATAAGCTGGGAGACAAGGATTTTTTTTAAAACAGATTTGTGATGTAGTATGGAGGTTACAGCAAACGTCTCGGAATCTCTCTCCTTACAAGCTTTCTGCTCTTCAGATGTCGCTTCCTCTAGGTCCGCCTCAGGTCTTCAAGACAACTCTCAGCACTTTGTTCACAAAAGGGGGATTCAAAACTCATCAAGCTCTTCGACTCTGGGACGAAGACACGATTCAACGTGGAAAGGACAATTGTGAAGCTGGAGAATTGCTTGAATGAGTTGAGAGCAACACGAACTGGCAACTTTCTCGCCTGTTTGAGAATGTTTCAGTCCATCGTCGCAAAAGGCTGGGTAGAAAACGAGGTGTCGTACGATCTATCCCACGTAGCGAGGGCTGGAGATGTTCAAAGCATGAACTTGATTCTTGTCTGCCTGTGCTCGGAGAAGAGGTTGGCAATTGTTCAGGCAGGTTCTTGCTCGTTTTTGGCCAGCCTTTTGAGGCCACCATGGCATCTTTTCCAGCCATGTTTTTGGACCTTTTTTTGGCCTCAGTGATTTTAGTATAGTTGATTTTCCCTCTCCTGGTTGGTCCCGGTTCAACTTGAGTCCAGAGAGAGTTATGCCACAAATCTGTTCAGGATCATTCCCAATGATGGACCTGGAGCCACGGGCCGTCCAATGCGGATCTTTCTTACTTGGTTTCATGCGAGGGTGGCATGGTTGAGGGCGCCCGCTTCACTTCTTGCAGGTCTAGTGGTATATCATATTTTATTCAAGACATTATATAATTATATATCTAGACAATTTGACATATATATATACATATTATATATACATATCTATACGTCACATATTATGAGATATGTTTGGTTCATCATGGTGACTTCCATTGACTCCCGCGGTGACCCTAAAGGGTGACCTTTAGGGTTGTTCGGTTTCGACGCGTCAGGTCTACTTGAAGAAGGGTGCCTTGTACTTTTTATCCTCCAAGAAAGAAGCGTTGGAGAAGCTACAGGATGTGGGGATGGTATCTGATTGTATCTACCGTCTGATGATCAAACATGGCAATGGAAAATCCGATAAATTTTATAGAGGATATTGCGAGTTAGATATGGGGATTTCCCAGCTAGCCATGTTTGATTGCCAGGAGGGTAGATAATATTGAACAAGATTAATAAATCAATAACTATACTGTACGGTCATACGCCAGGTGTCACGTTTGGGGCAACCATTCCGGGACATTCCTGGAACAAGGTTGTTTTGGGCTGCATTTTGACTCTTGTCAGGTCTACCCAGTTTTGTTTGAAATTGCAATTAAATTGTAGACATACATATGTAGCAGCCCCACACAAGATACAACCTTAAATTTTACTAACATAGTTAGTCAAAAAATCAGAATTTGAGTTTCTATCTTTTTTGGGTTGTTACTATAGGTGTGAGGTTGAATCTTGACCCAAAATTGGTTTCCCATTCCAACTTGTGAATGTTTCCAGACTTCCCTGCGGCAGGAGAAGGAGAGGATGACTTCAATGAAAGTCCCTAGACAGCACGAGTCGCGAGTTTGGACAGGCTTGTCTAAGAGTTGATAGATAGTTTAACTATATACTTGGGTGTATTGGGAATATAACTAACCAACAATATTTAATATTTAATGGGGATTTGATTGAATATATATATATATATACTGTAATGAACTATATGTCCTACGTGGAGGTGCAATTGAGTGATCTAAATGGCTATAACTATGGGATTTTCACCTCGATTGGGATATAACCTACAACAACTATGGTCATATCTCCACAGTTCCTCAACGACCTCACTGGGACGTTGGAATGGCCCATTTCGAAGTAGCAGATCACCCACGGGTTTCAGCATGGTGGTGCAAGAGACCTCCATGGTTGCAAGGTACCAGTCTGACCCGACACATTTCCAATGGCTTTGCAGTGTTTTTTTTGTATGTACCGAATGGGACAGCATTCCTCCCGTCTAAGGCATTTTTCCATTTTTGGGGACCTGAGATAATGGGCCCCCAAAAAAAGTGCATGGCCACCAACAACATGGATATCTAAAGCAGATTTCAGTCCAGCACATCAAATGGAAAGTGTTCCCAATAAATTGATCATTAATCACATGGTGAAGATCAAGGCCTTGTTAATGTGAAGATCAAGGCCATATATGATTATTATGATTTGATGGTATATCAATATGGCCCATTGATATATGACTATTCATAGTATCCATTCAAGGCCTTCACATCAATCATGTATGTATGCAAAGATCCATCAGCCAATACTGATCAAAACTGGAGCAGGCATGGCCAAATTCAATCGTTGGATATGTATATTCCAGTTACTACCCTCTGATCATTTGACATAGCCATGGAAAATATCAATGTTGAATAGGTAAATGATCTACACATGATATTCTGTTTTTTTTTTAATTGCCGGAGGGCAACCATACTTTAGAACTAGAGAAACCATATTTGTCCACTGAGTAAAGCTTTTTCAGCTACTCTACCCATTACTCAGGAAAAGGTCTTGGGCCTGGACACGCTGGAGTGATCTGGAATGATGCGGTGCTGTAGCTGCCATAGGATCAAGTAGGTGTTCAACCTCATTTGAGGTGACCTATAATATGGAGGTTTGGGGGACCACGAACAATCACGAACATGTCTGAAGCCCAAAGCCCAAAGTGGCCAAGAACAGCGGGCTCAACGAGTCTGAAAGGGTTTCAAAAGAACTGAGGAGGGATCTGGGTTGAGGATAAGTCAGAAAAGCATAGAACATGCAGGTTTTTTGTGAACATATGGTGTCCCTAAATAAAATAAATAAATTGATTGGTCAATAACCACATTCACTATGAAAATTGCAACTCTTGGATGCTTTTAGGGTATACCATGGTATACCCCACCTTCAGACACGCTCATGTGGGGATCCCAAATAGGGGATGGTCTCCACCCTGACGATACACCCAAAACGCTTGTTTGGTGAGTCATGTCATTACCTGGCTTTGTTTAAGGTGATTTTCTTTATTTTCCAATGGAAATCCATCATGTGGGGAATCTATAGTGAATATATGTTTTTTTTGGGGGGGGACACCTTATGAATATATGTTTTTTTTTGGGGGGGGAGGACACCTTAAGCAAATCCAAGTATGGTGGTGCACAGCACAGACTGTTTTTTGTTGCAACCGACTGCGATCAATTGAGACCGCAGTCAACTCACCGGGGGTATTTGGCGCACACACCAGTTGTAGGGTCTCCTCGTGGCAGTCTCCTTTGGGACCCAAAATCACATGATTTTAGTCGACTTCTCCGGCTGACCTCACCAGATGGTTTGGGAATGACTCACCCTCCGGTAGAACTGGGATCCATATCCAAACCCTGAGGCCCTGAGGCCTCAGCCTGTCAGGTGAGGGTGATGTGATGCCCATGGATCTGGAGGCAGCTTTAGAAGATGAGGCGTGATCCAGGACCTCCAGGTCTCCGGTTTTCGGAGGACTTTCCGGATCCAAAACGGAACATACTTGAGGGTGCAGTTGAGGTTGTCTTCATGGGTATAAACATGGCAATGAACCCCGCAAGATGTGTTTTTCGGGTCCCCTATGGGTACAGTTACCGTAACCCATTTGTAACCTCAACTGCACCCCCAAGTACCCACAGCTCACAGGTCGTCATAGTGCAGAATCCGCAGTGTAGTGGATCATCATGGAATATCCACCAAAAAAAAATACATATACATACATTATATATTTTATTCATATATATATACATATGAGAAATCCTGAATATATTCTAAATATATATTAAAGCAAAAAAACACGTGTCAACCCAATGGAATTTGGGGTGCATGGACCCCCAAACTGAAACGGTGCAGGCAACACCCGCGGCAGCGCATTTCTCCCCAGTGCCGATGGCTCCCCAGGACAGGTGAAACCGTGGTGAAGTGGATGAAAACTGGGGGGTAGCCCCATTTTAGGACACCTTCATATAGTTAGTGTATCATATTTTTTTTAACACTTGAATTTATTAATAAATAATAGTTGCATTTCATGTTCTTATGCACGAAATTTATAATAGTTAGATGGGTAGTAAACCAAACTAACTTAAGCATGCAGCCAGGAAATTTCGTTCCTGCGGCACCAGCAGATGCAAACGAAGCCATCATCCCCTGGCGAAGGTGCAACGACTGGCCCCTCGGCAGATGGCTCCCCAGAACCAGATCATCTTCACCGAGACGCTCCACAGAAGATGAAGATGGCAGAAGAGTGCCAGTGCCTCTGATGTTGCGTCCGACAAACTACTCATATCATCTGGGTAAATTTCATCACGACCTCACTGCGACCGAAGCCTGGAATCATGGTTTTTATAGGGAAATCATCCCCACAGTGCCCAACTATTCAGGTTAGTGAAATATTATAATTTACCCAGATATCATCTCATATCCACTTGTAAAAGTGAAATGTGAAGATGCATACTATACGGATTACTAAGGAACCTCGCAAACAATATAAAGACTGGTAATCCTGATTCCTGATGAGCACTTTTTGTGAGTGGCAGCCAACTCAGATGGAATTACCTTCTGGTAAATTAACATAGACCCTGGCAGATAGGGGTTGGAAGACTAGTTTCCATTAAAAATTGGTGATTTTCAGGGTCTATGTTTATTTACCAGAGGGTAGACTACATACAGAGGGGTAGGGTCAAGACCTGTCAACAATGGACGAAGATTTGGATCGGTTTTCCATAACATTGGCATGACTCAAAATTGTGATTGAACAGGATTTTTACCAGCAAACATAATGATTTATATAATCGTGATTTAATGGGTTTGAATGGGATTTAGTAGGAAATGAGAAGAATGTTTGAACAGATCTGTGACTGACGACACACTTCAGATGATCAAATTTGATGAAATTGGTAGTTTTACTCCATGTTCAGCAAAAGCAACATGTCTAGAAACTTACGTATGGAGATTCACTGTCTCCCAGGAAACACTGTCTCCCATGATATTGATTTCAAAATTTCCACCGTGTCTATATCCAAAGTGTTGATTAAAAAAAACATCTCCGAAACCCTTTCATTCAATAATTTCATGCAACGTTCAACCAGTAGTTCTACCGGTGAAGTTCCATGAACAATAGACCTAAGTTATACGTAGTTGAGCCATTTAAGATTAAACGATCTTCGATAACAGTTTTAGAATGTTTTAGATAGTCATAGCAAACCTCAAAAAGATAGAACCATGTTTACAGGACGGTAGTTCGATTATGGTTTGAACATATTTTCCAGGGTTCCAACGTTTCAACAACTTTTTGGTGATGGCTATAATTTGTCTAATTTGCCCAAAGTAATTACATATCGCCACAGTATGATTGTGTCTGAAAATATGGCACCCTGGAATTTGAGCGAAACAAATCACAATTTTCCATCTGAAAATTAACGGAGGTTAATCCCTCAGACACACCCAGAAACAACCACGAGATCATCATGTTCATAGCAATTTCTCCAGATATCACTTTTCAACATGAAACAATTCAATAACATCTGGGTAAATTATAGCGACCTCACTGCGACCTCACTATGATCATAGTTAGTAAGGGGAATCATCCCAAAATGGCCTTGCCGGCCCAAAGGGAAGGTCGGTGGCCTTAATTCAGGTTAGTGAAATATTATAATTTACCCAGATAACATGTCATGTCCAGCACCATGTTTCTTGGTTAATCCCATTAAATCACCGTACAAATCGCAATGAATTCACCATACAGGTTCTATATGCTCAATCATTGAATCACCATTCAATCACCGTTCAATCTCCATTCAATCAGCATAAAAAACATCATAAACACACCGGCCGAAATCGTCATTTCCCCTGGTGAATCCCACTCAATCGGCATAAAAATCAACATTAAATCACAATAAATCATCATAAATTACGACAAAAACACCAGAAAACATAGAAATCACCATAAAATCACTGTAACTTCACCATAAGTGGTTGGTAGTTTCAAACATTTGGATTCTTTACCATTTCATATATGGGGTGTCATCTTTCCCATTGACGAACTCATATTTTTCAAGATGGTTAAAAGCACCAACCAGTTATAGCTATATCATAGTCCCATTATAAATCAAATAATTTACCACTAATTACAAACCATCATTTGCCATTAACCACTACTAAAATCAGTATAACTTCACCATAAGATTCATCATATATTATGGATATGGGTAATATTATGGATAATATGGGAATTATATCTTCATAATCATAACCACTATAATTTACCCAGATTTCATGGATATATATATTCATCATAAATCACCATCATATATAAATCACCATCATAATAAATATATAGAAATCACCATCATAATTCACCATGATTTTTGATTTAATCACCATAAATCATTCATCAGTAACTGAAGATAACCACTAAGATTCTATGTTATTTTTGCCATTAACCACTATAACTTCACCATAAGAAGTTAGTGGTAAAGCACAAATCATAATTCATCACAATAATTCACCATTATATTTTTCTTCACCACAAATCATTATAAATCACTATAAATCACCATCATTGCCACGGCGAAAAAACTCTCCAGGACGTCGACCCCGATGATTTGAACCATGTGGCTGGGCAGGCGATGACGAAATGCCAAAAACACCTGGTGTTTGGGTGATTTTATGGTGGATTTTATGGTGGTTTACCCTCTGGTTATGTCAAAATAGCTATTGAAAATGACCATTTATAGTGGATTTTCCCATTAATCATGGTGATTTTCCATAGCTATGTTAAATTACCAGAGGGTAATGGTGGTTTGAAACTGTTTTAATGGTTAAGACTATGGTATTTTTTCGATTTTATGATGATTCAGTGATGACTTTATGGTGGTTTAACCCAAATGCTCCAGGTATGGAATATTTATCAACATTTACCCGAACAAAATCACCCAAATGAAAGTAAATATACCATACATGGAGCATATGGGTAATGGTGTGTTGATGGTGATGTATGCTTAAGACTTTGGTATTTTTTTTGATTTTAGGATGATTTAGTGATGATTTAATGGTGAGTCAACCAGAAATCCTCAATTTCAGAAAAAAACCATCTGCAAATTACATATAGTGGATCTTCCATTGCCACATGGGAGAATTCCTTGTGCACATATGGGTAGGTTTTGCAAGAAAGTCCCTAGGTCCTGTTTTGCAAGCAGTTGGTCACTGGATTAGGGATGGAACATGAAATCCTTTCACAAGCCTCTTCAACCGGCATGGGGTATGCTCCAGCGGTCTGTTGCATCTTGTCAGGCAGCCATGCAGTTGGTGCCCTTCCCAAATCCTGTGGTGGCAAGGGACCCAGCGACCATCATTATGATCAGATATGATCAGACTGCTTTGGGCAATGATACGCGTTTGGTGGGAATGTTTTTTGTTTTTTTTCCTGAGGTTTTGAGCCGCTTAATGCGCGATGCTTCGGACGGTTTTTTTATTTAGTTGCATATAGCGGCACATGATGTTGGATGTGTGTATGGTGATTTCGACAAATGAAGCACTTT